TGTGAAAAAATAATACTTGGCACTTTAAATATTAATTAATATTAATAATAATGAAAAAAATTTAAATAAATTTAAAAATATTTAAATAATTTCACAAATAATCTTATTAATATATTTAATTTTAAAAAATGAAAGGTAAGAGACGGGAAGAATTTCTTCGCTAACTAAATTGCATCATTTGTGAAGGATATAATTCAAAACCTAACGATATAGCTCGAGGGACAACTTTTGTTCCTTTTAGTTATTATATTACAAAATAGGGGGCAGGGGTGTCCCTCAAACTGGAACTCAGAATTCTGGAGTAACCAATAGCAAGCGCCTTGCCATTTGCAACTTGCAAGTTCACCAACAGAGTGGGGTAGCTTGAATAATAGTTTTTTTTTTTTTTTAATTTATTTAGACAATTTGATGTCACATACTATCTTTTTATACATATTAAAATTAATATTTTAAAATTGTTGATGCTATCTTACACGTTTGGATGGTATATAAAAGGAAATGGTGACTTTATTGTTCAATTGATAGAGTGGATTGGATTTCCTCAAGTTCTTGTTTGTCTACCCTTTAGCTGTTTGAACAGCCAAAAAGTTGGGTGGCCCAAAAAAAAAGGAGGAAATGAAGAAAAGAAAAGAAAAAATAGCCTATAGTTCATATGCAATATCTGATCATGAAAAACTTCAAAACAAATAATGTTTGAATTATAAATAGAATGATAATAAATGAGCCTAAAATTTAGGATAAAATTAAAATTAATAATGTGACATAAGTCACATCATTTAAAATATTAAAATATAAATTTTATATTATTTATTAATTAATTCTTTTTATTTTTTTGAAATTTATGATATTATATATATTAATTAATTGGCAAAAATATGACATAAGGACCCGAACTTACACCAAATTCGCAATTTCGGACCCAAACTTCGATTGCACTCAATGAAGGTCCCGAACTCCACGAAATTCTCAAATAAGGACCCAATTGGACGGAAAACTAACTTCCGTTAAATCTCCTATTATTCCGTTAACGTTCCGTCACATTTCACACCCGACACTTAAAAAAATTGGTTAAATGTTAATTTTGGTCCCTCAACTTCATTGAGTTTCACTTTTTTGTCCCTCAATTTTATTAAATTTTACTTTTTTATCCCTCAACTTTATTAAATTATACCTTTTTGGTTCATAAACTATTTTTTGTACTTTTTTGGTCCTTAAATTATTTTTTACACTTTTTTAATTCCTTAACTTTAATAACTGCACAATTTTGATACTTTCATCAGTTTAAGCCATTAACTCCGTCCACTTGGTATTTTTTATATTTTTTTGATGACATATAATCTAACTAGAAAAAAAAGATAACATAGATAAATAAAATAACATGTAAATAAATCTTTATATTTTTTATAAAAAAATATAAAAACCTCTCTACCTATTTTCTTCCCCCTCTTTCTTTCTCTTTCTTCTAGCGAGGGAAGAAAATAGGTGGAGAGATTTTTTTATTTTTATTAAAAATATAAAAATTTATCTACATATTATTTTATTTATCCATGTCATCATCATTTTTAGTTAGATGATCTATGTTATTATTATTTTTTCAGTTAGATTATACATGTCATTAAAAAAATATAAAAAATGCCACATGAATGAAGTTAATGATTTAAACTAACGAAAGTATCAAAATTGTGCAGTTGTTAAAGTTAAAGGATAAAAAAAGTACAAAAAATAGTTTAAAGACCAAAAAAGTGCAAAAAATAGTTTAAAGACCAAAAAAGTATAACTTAATAAAGTTGAAGGATAAGAAAGTATAATTCAATAAAGTTGAGGGATAAAAAAGTGAAATTTAATGAAGTTGAGGGACAAAAAAGTGAAACTCAATGAAGTTGAGGGATCAAAATTAGCATTTAACCAATTTTTTTCAGGTGGCGGGTGTGAAATGTGACGGAACATTAACGGAATAATAGGAGATTTAACGGAAGTTAGTTTTCCGTCCAATTGGGTCCTTATTTGAG